GACGAAGATGAACTATCACTAGAATCCGACGACGATGACGACGAGGACGAAGATGAGGATGATGGTGGCGAAGGAGAGTATGAGTATTTCTGCTTGCGGGGCTCTTGTTGTGTTTTGTCCCATCGGCAGCTTCTTCTAGGTTAAAGCCATCACCAGGCGCGCATGACTGCTGCACAGGCATGCAAAAGCCCGCTACAACACAAAGGGGAAGTCTAGCATGAATCACATCCACCAAGAGAACGGCTCCGCTGCCTTTCCTTTCAAGGAAACTCGTTGGGACCTTACACGCGCTCCTGGGCCAAAAGCGCTGGAATCGGCACACTTCCATCTTTACGATATCAATCACCGGACATGGAGCGATCCTCCTGGGCTTCAAGCCTGCTGAGGGAACCACCCAAGCTTGAAACAGCACAGTTGTTTGAGCCCGTGTTTCTCTTTGGGTACACGCTCCACATCATACCCAGGCTGCTGGGAAAAACTTTGCTTAATGTGACCAGTTGCGACATCCACTCCGACTAGTTTAGGGAGCAAACACAATACCTGTCCATGTATCTTGCTTACCCTTCTTTGTGGATGCCCTCGAAATGATGATGGCACGCGCCGGCCAAAATATCACTTCCCAAGAAAATACTTCAAGACCAGCACTTACCCAGTTGCCAGCACACAGAATCTTTCAAAATGCGCATCAGTCAGAAACCGTCGCGGCACAAACTCAGCGCCAGCGGCCGTTTAAGAGTCGTCACTGCCGAAGTCGTCATCGTCCTGCTGCGTGTCCTGCGCGGCCTCCCTGTCCGTCTCCCCATCCAGGTGGCCCATGACATCACGCAGGTGCGTTTGCCAGGCCTCCTCAATTTCTGCTGCTTCCTGCTTATCTGCGACGTTCATCAAGGCACAGCCACTCATCCTCTTCCAGCGCGGGGGTCCGCCACTGTTCTTGATCAGCGTCCCACACACGCCTTCTCTCTCTTGATCTGGATCGCACATCTTCCTGTACACAAGCTGCCACTTCTGCCACAGTCAGCTGCTCCCCCTGCGCATCTTCTTTTGTTTTGCCGGTTTGCCTGGTGGAGACGTTGTCAAGCCCACGTGCTCATGGTTCCCGCTCGGGCAGTGATATTGCTGGGCGGGGCGCTGGTCGCTAGCCATCGCCCCCAGTTGCGCGGCGTCCTCATCCTGCGCCCCCCGTCCAGCAGAGAGGCGTTGCATGAAGGTGGCCACCGTCTGATTTTCATCGAGTATAGTCTGCTGATGTTGCTGGCCTCCACGTGAATGCGACGTCTTGCTCCCGTCTGCACCCTCACCTCATGTCGCTGCTCATCTTCCTCATGCATCCCATTGCGCTCATCTGATATTTGGTTTTCTTGCTTGAGTTTGTTCATACCAGCGGCAATCTGTCTTCTTCGTCCTGCGGGCTGCATCCCACGTTCTTGCCGTGAGACGGTAGGCGGCTTGGGCGGCCTTCCTGCTTGCAGAAATTCACGAGCGCGACGTGGATGGAGCATCGGCGCTCTCCGTTGCTTGTTGGCAACCTTTGCGCGAGCTCTTCTGTTCGCTTTGTTGGGCTGCACGCGATTTTGCTTATGTGTCATGGATTTGTAGTGATTGGGTCCATGAGAGCAATTCTCAACTTGAGCAGTTCAACTGGGGCTGCTTCCAGGGATGCTTGAGAGTAAAGCCTGGAGATATCTGCCGCGAACTTCGTGACGTATTTGTCTGGCAGGCTTGCACAGCACCGAGGCTAGAACGCCTTCGCGCTGCGTCCTGGGAATCGGGAACAACGGCTGCAGTCTGCGCTGATTGCCCCAGTTGCCAAACCTGTCCCAACGTCATCCGGCGCGACTTGCTGTTGTCTTCTCTCACTTCTTGGGGTCGATGTGTCTTGCGACTTTCCTGGAATTGCTCAAGAGCATGGGCTGCTTGTGGGAAGCGCGGGTTCAAGGAAAGATGATGGAGGATCGCTTCAACAATTCCAAAATCGCTGTGGTCTCGCAAGTGCGTAAGCAACTCCTGCAGCAAATGAAGAGGACCAGCCTGCGCGTTCTCTGCAGCTTGTTGCAACTGACGAGCAATTCGTTGCGCCCGACGAGCAATTCGTTGCACCCGGGCAGCATCAGGGTGACTCCGTCCATTTTCGAGCTGGAGAAGCAGGCTGGCAGCTTCTGGTTTGCGTCCCGCATCTAGATGTCGCCACCATTTGAGCACTGCCGCTCTACGGTAATCAAGCGATTTGGGTCGCACATGGTCGTCTTCATCCTCCGTGTCGCCATCTAGCGCACAGATGCCTGTCTTGACTCCCACGCACGCCAGCAGCAAGAGTCCATGTCTAGGGTCGAGACCACGTTCAACCATCGCCTTTAATAGTCAATGAGTCTTTGCTTTGCCGACTTCACGCTCACACTTGCCTGGTCTTCAGGAGGTAAGCGACGAGATTGCTGCTGCATCATGGCCGCCGTGTCATCTTCGACCGGGACTTCTTCTTCAGCAGCATCTTCTGCGCCGTCTGGATACACGTCACGGGGCGTAGCCTCTCTGTCATCATCCTCACGGAGGTTGTGTGAAAGGATATCACTGGCTATAGCCCCCACATAAGCCAACGCATCCTGCCGTCCCATAATTGACCTGGCAGTGTTGGCCACAAACAAACTAGCCATCCACGCAGGCGGGTCTACGTTTGAGGCCGTGGCTGCCCCGGCGGCCACACCAGATTGCTGACACGCTCTCTCCGCCCAGCGCGACGACGAGCCTCTGCGCGTTGCGCCTCTGGACTCATCCCGGCTTGCTGCCCTGTCTCGGCTTCTGTCCCTGATGCGGGGCCCACGCTCCTCTGCCTCTGTTGCATCTCCCCGGCAAAATACTTTCCATGTGCGTCCTATGACCGGCCGCTCCCGGCCTCATCGATCCCTGTCTCCTCCATGGCGGCGTATGCATCAGCACAATCTCCTCGGAGTCTACCTCGGCACGCATTGCAACCATAGCCAAGACCACAAGGCTTGCGCATGTCAGGGCAGCAGTTCCCAGCTCCCCATCCATCATGCCAGCACTGCAACCACTTGAATGGACCGCAGCAGCCGGTCAGGTAACTCAGGAAGGAGGGAAAAACTACAACACTGAAAGTCTGAGAGGCATTACAATCAGCTTGGCAGAGGTCTCCTGGCAGCGTGCGATGTAGAGCATGTCGGTCATGTTAGTGCGGATTAGCTTGGTGATGTCATGTTCGCTCACTCATGTCGATCCACAACTGGTGATGGCTTCTTGAGATGCTTCTTGCCAGCAACGTGCACATCTTGTAAAGGCTTCCACGTCGAAAAGGGCAGACTGGGTCCTCTATGCTTGCGGCTCACGATGTCTGCTTCTCGTATTTCACACGGTAGGTTCGGGTTTTCTCTCCGGTCGGTGCTTGTTCTGCGAAGGACTGACATCAGGGAAAGTAGCGGCGCTTGGTGTGTTCATGCCGATTCATGCCAGGGAATTTCCATGTTGCGGCGCGGTGATCGGGTGTGCAAACTTCGTTGACAGCGGTTGGGGCGGTGTGATTGTAGTGGGGCATCCAAGGCGGTATTCAGGCAGTATTTGGTCAGGACCGCCGTCAATAGCCACCATAGCCTTGGCTGCTTTGCTGCACATGCTGTCCGCAGGGTGTGTAGGTGGTTAACTGGGGGCAAGATTTTGGATGGCAGTTTGCTTGCGCTGCATGGGCAAAGGCGGCGTGTCCCACAAATGCCAGACTTGCGTCAGGTCTATGGTCGACCACCGCTGGCTAGGGTGCTGGACAAGGTGCGATCGGGCTTGCCTGATGGATCTCTGTCGCGACTCCGCCCACGACTCAGTAGCCCTTCGCTTGATCTTCAACGCGTCCCGCATCTGCATAAGCTGCAAGCTGTTGATTGCTTTCAGGAACGAATCGCGGGGGTGAGCTGCGCCGACAGCCACAACGCCGACGCGCTGACGTATCTGGTGTAGGCTAGCATTTTGCGGCGCGCACTGCGCACACTTCCCGGCCCCTGCAACGTCTTCCTGCGCCTGGCTCTTCTGGATACCTCTGCGCCGTGGCCACCTCTGACTTGAGAGCTATTGGCGCCCCCAGACCGTGACTGTGCCATCTTTTTCCCCTTGCATGACGTCTTCCCCTACCTGCAGTGTGTGGTTCCCCCCTCAGTGTGTACATATAGCGTGTCTTGATTGCATTGATCTTGAGGCACCTCTGCCCCATTCCCCGTACAAGCTCGTTAAGCTTGCGCTGCAGGAACGGCCGACGATGCCCCCAAAGATACACATCATCTTGAAAACCACCTCCATTCGCGGGCATGGGCGGCCCCGGGTTGGTGGAAAGTCCTGGACATCTTGGGGCCGGTCACGGGATGGAGCGGGGATAAAGGTTGGCGTCAGGTCGGGGTTCCTGCAAGGTTTCACTCAAGATGTCACCTACAATGGCCGCAAAGACTGTGGCAGAGTCTGGCGCCCTCTGCCTCACCGCTTTACTCTGGGGGATGGCGCATCTCGTGTCTTCAATCCCAATCTTGATTCACCAAGTGGAACAGGAGACTCCATTCTTTCGACGTTCGAACTGCTTTGCTGATGGCTGAGATGAGTTCCGTGGGCTTGTCGCCCGAGTCGCGCATACTGCCACACCGCTCCCTCAAGCATCCTGTCTGCAACCCTAGCCAGAAGGAGCTGTGACTTCCACTTAAGCGTGGTCGATGCTTTAAGGCTTTCCGGCAGGCGCCCTTTGTATAGGGCCTGGTTGAATTGTTCTTTGAGGGCGAGTTCCCACTTGTCATGGCAGCCCATGTACTTCAGCGCTTCAAGGCTCACTCCGTCAGGTCCTGTGCTCTTTCCTGCTTTCCACTTTGCCATTGCGTCCCTTAGCTCTTCCGTGGAGAAGGGGACCCAGTCTGCTTGCTTACGCTGCAACTCAAGCTTCTCCCAGATTTGCCGCCGTCCGCCCTGACTTGCGCCTCGTTTTGCCTGTGGAAAATGCAGCGGAAGCGCTGCTCCAGCTGCAGCTGCTGCTTCCAATCTTCCGACTGTGTCAGCTTACCTGTCCACGCACCTACTTTCTTGGCTCGCCTCACTGCACACATTCTTTGCCACGCCTCTTGCTCCTTTTCCTTCTGCCACCACTTCTCGAGAATGTAAGCTTCGGGGCCCCTGGTATTCTCTCCGTTGTCTGTCCTCTCTGCTATCCTCTCTGACATACAACTGGATGCTCACTGCGTCACGGTCACTGGAAATGACATGTCGTAGCTTGTGGACTTGCCCGGCTTGTCCGCGCTGCGTCCTATTTACCAATCCATAGTCCAGCCTTCTGGGATTGTGAAGGGGGTTCTACGGATAGTATGTCGGTATCGTTACGTCCTGGCCCGGGGCAAAAGGCTCCAATTCTCCACAAACTGCAACAACACAACATCCATCTGCTACTGGTGCGCAGCAAACGACTTCTGTCATCATGCCCTATCGTAAAGGTCTCGTTGAGGTCCCCAAGGCGGGCTCTAAGCGCTTTGCTTCATGCTTCTGGTATTGCGGTTCTGGGCGGTAGATGAACATCGAGGACTCCGATTTTGCCCCTGGCTCGCCTGATGATTACTCCCAAAGCATGGTTCGCCACCTGTTCGTCTTCAACGCTCCCAAAGTTCTTCCCAATCGCCACCGCTCGCCCTCTCCGTTCCGCAGGCTTCTTGGCAATCACGATTTGCAACCCATCATCCCCCTTCCCCGCATCAAGTCTGCAAACTCCCGGCTTGCAGTTGCTTCCTTGAAATGCAACCACTTGGGTGTGCTCTAGGCCCACTACCGGCATAATCGTCAAGATTTCATGGGTTCTCTCTGTCGCTAGAACACCTACGTTCCACGTAAGAAAATCGGCTCTGGTCCTGCTTCTGTACTTGGTTGACTGACAAACATGTTCATCACTGGGATCGCAAGGCTCACTCGGCGGTCGTCGTCCTTTTCCTTTGGAGTCTCTGCTCCTGATGTCAGAGCAAGTTCTGT